ACCAATCTGCAGTAAATTAGTAGCAAAACCTCTCTGCTATTTCATGTATGTTTTTGTGGCTTATGAAGAAAAAAAAAAACAAAAAAAAACCAAAACAACAAGCATAATTCTTTTTTTTTCCCTAAAGTATTTCTACATTAATTAGTTCATGAGAAAGGACATTATTAGAGAAATGTAGCTGTTTTATAGATCTCTTTTGTCATGAAGAGTTCTGAAAGAGTGGTTCTGAATTTCAAAAGGAGAAATCCCACAAAATTAAGTGCCACACTAAAAGGAATTTGTTGAAAATGTAGTTATCACAGGCATTTTTTGGCTCGTATTCTTTGAGAAGTACAGTCTGGGTTTGAACATTATCAGGCTATTTATCTGGGTGGAAGCTTCTTGTTTCTTTTTATGTTTTCATTTGCATATCATTGGCATAACCCATGTCATCTAATGCTTCATAATTATATCTGTTTCACTCACCACTCATCCTGTCTGTGCAGTGAGCTTCTTATGCTGCCCAGAGCAAAACGAGGAAGAAGTGCAGAGTGCCTACATACCATCAGGTAAATACAGGAATTCGGTAATCATGAACACTTCTGGTTAGTTGTCTATACTTCGTGTGCCCAACTTTTTTCCATAGTAGTACTTAGTCCCAGTAAGTAAAGAACTTCCTAGTACGTTGTGATCCAGGTGTCAGTTATTCTTTTTTGTTCATTTTGATTCAGATGGAGATGTGTGTGTATGTTTGTGAACTTCAGTAGTAATTAAAGGGTTAAAGCAGGTGAAGGAGTTCTGATTTTGCAGTTGTATTTTGTGGTAGATTCTGTCTAGTCACAGAAATCCTGGTCTCTTAGTGCATGACAGTGTTGTTATAATTTCAAACATTTCTTTTTAGTTGTTTTTATGTGTTCTTTTATTTGCATTTTAATGTTTATGTTACAGCCACGCACAAGCCAACAGTCTACTTGCTGTGATACCTGATCTCATTCTGATTTTAGTCACTTGTAGAGGAAAGAACAGTGATTAATGAGGGCTCACTGGGAACCTCAGATTTGAGGGGTCTCGTATTATTTGGTTTTGCATCTACGAATTGTGCTATAAATTAGATCCAGGCATAAATTTTATAGTTTGGGCTCATCTTCAATCTTCATTAATCTTTCGTTCCAAAACTTGGAGCGCTCTGACTCACCTGTTCCGAACATTGTCAAACTGAAAGGCACTGAAATATCTTTACCTAACAAATCTAATTTTGCCCCCCGCCTTTTTTTTTTGGCCACACGTCTGTTAACTTTCTCAAAAATGCATGTCAGATTGTGTGGAAAATCTTCCAGTTAGAATCAGTAAAAATCGAGATTGAAGGTGAACTAGTTAACCCTTCTACTACTTCAGCCAAGTAGTTAACCATTTTTCTGTTTGAGATCTGGTCGTTGCTAAGAGTTTTACGTCAGTGCTATATGTTTAAAATTGTCAAACTTTTAAAGCTGTGTAGTCTAATGAGTTATTAATTTCCTTGGTGTAGGATTTTCCCCTACAGGGTAGGGTTTTTTTAATATGCCTTGAGTTACTTTAATTCTCTTTATTGAATTAGAAACAGCATCAAAGATGCTGTGATAAAATTCTTTTATAAGGCACAGCAGTATAAAGGGAAAATAATAAATATGAAAACTTCCGAAAAGTTTGTGCATCAGTGAAGCTGTTAAATTAAAATTTAAATTTAGTTAAAATATAAGTTTTTATTATCAGTAGAAAGAGTTTCATTCTCATAGTTCAGCTATAAAAGCTTTTTCCTCAACGTTTTAGGTTTTAAAGTTTAATCATTTATTTCACTCCCTGTTGTTTTATGTCAATTTATCATCATATAATAGCAATTTTTCCTGACTCTATCCGATGGCCTTTCTCTTTCTGCTGCATCTTCTATGACTTCTCCCCGCCCTCAGCATTGTGCTTCTTCCTTTTCCTCTTAAAGATTATAGTTTTCATTCAAATTCTGCAATGCTTAAATTCTCACTTAATTCATGAAGTAAATATTGTATTATGAACTTATGATGCACTTTGCCCAGCCACTATATATTTCCAATAGTTTTACAAATCTGCTAACGAATCTGGCCAGTTAACCAGCTAAAAGTTGTGCATGGGCAGCAATAGTTATGTGAGAGCAACACTGAATTCAGAGAGTACAGCCCTTTCTTGCCTTTTTCCTTATTCTAATTATTGCTGTTATTTTTTATGATCAAGAAAGTAACGAATCCACCTCTTTAAAATAGAAGTACTGGTATACTATAAAACAGAATGATACTTTTAATAATGTATTGAAGGTGAATATAGGGGCAATAGAAGACAATAGATTGATTTTTAAATTTAACTCTGAGGCTTATACAGCCTAATCCAAGTTTAAATACTACCCAGAAAATTGCCAATATCTGTCCCTGACTGAATACTCTCAAAAATCTTTCCAACAAAAATTGGGTCTGCACATTGGTCTCCATCTTTTGCCCTTTCTCGTTTTTACTGGCCTGGCATTTATTCATGTTAGAAACGTTGTAAGACTTTATCCTTGTTTTCTAGACAGCTTTCTGAGTAATGTTTTATTTGTTGAGACAGCTTCAGCTTAAAATGGGAAAGAAATGTTAAGGGTTTCATGTTAAATGAAAGAAGTATTAATATGAGATAGTCCAAGCTACAGAGTTAAGATATATGGTTAGTTTAATACATGAGTTTAGAATAGTATTAGTCCCAGCTGTCCATCCTGTCCATCTGTATGCAATTATGGACTAATAGCAGAAGCGGTGGAAAGGTATGCCATAGACCATGGATGATCAGAGTCCATGTCTTAGGTCACACCCACTTTGATTGGTAGTATCTGCTGGTATGCCAGGATTGACCTGATAGACAGCCATTCCTTTATTCCAACTTTGCAACGTCACAGTGACCTCTGGCAGAGCTGTCAGTAGCGTGACTGCTAAACCTGTACAAGAAGGATCAAAGCTCCGCTGTTAAATACTTCAGGGTTTTACAAACACTGGGGTTTCCAGGCAGAGAGCTGTTTGATCTGTCTGTGACACAGCCAAGTTTGTAATGTTGATCTGCTGTGACTAGGTCCAGGCCTTAATAGGAATTAAAATGTCCTATTGAGACGGGCTGTTCCTGAAGCTGCAAAATCCTCAAGGCTGCTGGTCCTTCTGCTAATAGCACCACAGCTGTGTCCTTGTAGGGTATGTGGAAAATTGTTAGAACTTGATTATTAACCCTTAACCATTAAATGGCCATGATTCCCATTTGCCAGCCTCTGTCTGCCTTTAAATTTCTCCTTTGTTCATTGGGTAGAGCTGGATAACAAAGCAAACATTTCCTGTTCTAAAATCTCATGTACACTAGGTGATGATATTAGACAGTTGTCATATACATCTCAGAGTGCTGCTGTGCTGGCTGATGTAGTAGATCTCCTAGTTTTTTTTTAATTAGCTTATTATTAATAGCACTTAATTACTGTTAGATTTTGAAGCTGATACAGCACTTCAAAAAGACTTCCACATTCAAAAATGTCAGGTGTAATACATCTATAATTGTGTTTATGAGGCTATATATCACTGTTTTAGCAAGCTTTTCATGGTTAGCTACTGAAGAGGTTAAAGTCTCTGTAGGTCTAAATGAGGCATTACCGAGAGAATAAACAACAAGTTTAATAACAACCTAATCCTTTACAACCGCTTGTATATTTTAATTAAAAATCTCTAAAAATGGAAGTTAGCTTACTTTCATTACAAGGAAAACAAATCTGAGTTGTATTAGTATTGTCATGAGTTCATGGCCTGTAATACCAAAAATGTAAATACAAAAATTTGTCCCCAGTTAGCTGTCACAGTAGTTGAGTTGAGAAAAAACATATATTGAGAAATCTACTCGTTACAGCTATTAAATATAGTAGAATATTATGTGTTTATTTTACGTTCTGGTCAGTCTTGCCTTATCTTTGCCTGTCTTTTTATTTCTGGCATGTTTTTGTGTTGTTCTTTTTTCTTTTCCATTCCACCATATTCAAGATGTTCTGTTAGGCACTATAAAACGTTACCACCCAAGATGCCTTTACTAGCAAATGGTACTCATTGGAACCTATACAGGTAAGAAGTGTTCAGAGTAAGCTTTAAGTAGTTAGTTCCTTTTTAAAAAACAAATAGTCTTGCCTCGTTAAATAAAAAAAATATGAAATATTTTCTACAGTTTTTATAACTGAGAGATAAGGAATATCATCTTAAAATAATGTCATATAGCTGTCTAAATTAACCCCTACATTACAAAAAGAAGTAAAACCAAACCACTTCTTGTATTAGGTAGACTTTTCTTCACTGTTAAAATTATTTGTTGCATGGTTTTCTTTGTTACATTATTTCGTTTATGTATCTGATTTTGGTTACATGTCAAATTTGTTTTCATTTAGTTCAAATAATTTTAATTTACAAAGCTCAACTATTCCTGCATGTGCCAGGACCAAATCAGTGATTAGACAGGATATTTCACTCCTTCGTGATTGCCTTAATTCACGAATACCGAAATTTGGAGATGATCTACTGGTTAGGTAAGAAACTTAGGATTAATTTTCCCCTCCTGTTTAGTATCTTATATGGATTTGAAGAATAAATGAGCTTCACTGTTTAGTGGTTTCACATAATACGTAGTGTATCACATCCTTTTATGTTGGCCTACGGATTACTGCTGTTAACAAGGATTTAAATTTACTGTCTGGTATTTCTCATTCCACTTTCTTACAAGTGGATGTTGTTCTTTCTCATTCAGTTTTAAACATTTCAACGATCTCAGCAAAAAATTTCTAGCAGTGTTTTGTTTGCTTTTATTTTCTAAACAAACCTTGGCACTGTCATCCAGTCAGCTCTTTTACGTTTTCCTTAATTAAATCATTGTGATTCTACATTTTCTGTAAAGAAAGCATTATTTTATGAGTTAATATCTAACATTGTATTCCTTTCTTTGTTTTCTTTTTCTTTCTCTTCTACCATTGGATGCAATGCACTGGCACTAGTGAACTACAGCCCTCCCTTGACAGGGCTAGGAGTGCTAGTACCAACTGCTTGAGACCAGATACTAGTTTGCATTCACCAGAACGAGAAAGGTATAAAATAAAAACTTATTAATTTCTTGTCATCTGTGCTGGTGATCTTTATCAATTTTGGTTTTCGTCATATGATTATTCTACATTCTTGTACATTCATGTCTGCTTTGGTATTTGTAGTCATTTTTGCTCTTATATTCATGTATGTCATATAAATTGTGTGTTGGAGTTTATAACCGCTTCTGGCTTCTTTCCTTGTTTTAGTTCAAGCTGATGTCATTGTTTACAAAAGTCCTCAGTATGCTGATAATAGCATTGCAGTGTTAAGTATTTTGACAAAGTACCACTTGGTTGTTAATCTTCATCATCATTTGCTAAAAAGTATTGTTTGTTTCTTGCCTGTTCTGTGGACTGCTAATAAGGCAGTGACATAATTTATAAATTATGACAAAACTCTCATATTTCAAACCAGAACTGTAGTTTGTATAGTGATGTATTTTCTACAAAACAGCCAAACTTCATTGCTTTCATAATCTAATCTGCTGCATCTGCTTTTGCAATTACAAGGCAAATCACTGCATTAAGTTTTTTCACTCTGTGACATAATATTAAGGCTTACATAAGTCTTAAGAAGACATGTTTGCAATGTAAATGTAATATTGTTGTGCCACATACTTTGTGCAGGCATTTTATGGATGCTTTCTAATTTCTTTTTTTACTAATTTTTAATATTACAATAGCTTGGTTCAAAATCTTGGGTGAACCAAATACTGCTGGTGTGTTTGACGGATTGGATTGTTCCACAAGGGTGTTTTTCATCACTTTCTGTGTTTTAGGCTAATAACTATATAATTTTAGAGTATTTTAGCTTCACTAAAGGCAATAATAGGCTCCCATTTAGTGGGAATATGGTGGAACTACAATTTCATCTGTGCAACACATATTTAACTAGTGTGGCAGTTAATGATGTAAAATTGCTTTTTCAGTCAACCCACAGTGTGGTGGTTATAACAGTTGCATCATTTTTGTTATTGTGGGAGAGGACCTGTGAAAAAAGGCGATAAGAACATACTTTACTCTTTGAGATAAGGTTTCTCCAGAGGTTTTTTGTGAAATTTCCCTTTCCCTCCTCCCTGCTTCCTGCTTCCTCTTGATTGGAACTTTTCTCAAGTTGTGCCCTTGTTGCAGAGGAGTGACTAATGCTCTGCTGAGATATCTCAGATGGATCTACACTAGTTCATTCCTTTTTAAGATTAAGCTCATGAACTCGTCAATAATATATAAATAGTTATTAAAAAAAAAAGTATGACAGAAATAAGGCCACTTGGAATGAAATACAGGATATCATTCTAGATTTAAAAAAAAAAAAGTATTGTAGCATCATATTAATAACTGAAGTGTGTAGATATATACGGCTGTATTCACAGGCAGCGATTTAATGTAGTAACGGGTGGACATGAGCAGTGTATGTTTTGTTCTTTTGTTTCAAGATGCCGCCCAAGTTGAATGTTCAATGAAACGGTTAAAATATTATACTAAAAACTACACCTGTCACTGATGTTAAGTAGTTCTATTATGTCTTTATAATTCATGTCCAGCAACCTCTGTCCAATAGGCACTGCACAGAATCTGCAGCGTTTTTCATGAGCTCCTCGTACAGAAAAGTGTTTAGTCTGTGTTAATGGGCTCTACTGCTACCAAACACATGGTTTTGCCAAATCATTTGTGGGCCTGATCCAGAAAAATTGTCCATCACGATGAAACTTTTACTTCTTTGCTTTTAGAAGTCCTAAATAGGTGCTTTTGACTTGGAATCCTTCATGGGGTGCAGAACAGCTCTTTTTTAGGAAATTCATACTCAGGTTTTCCATGATGGTTTTGTTGAAAATAATAAGATCTGTGTGGCTCTGACAGAGGATTTAGGACATACTTTTTTCTTTTTTATTTTCTTCCGACCAATACAGCTCAATTTTTGGAGGAAGATGTTGTATTTAATGTATATCAACCACCAAATTAACCTTTTTTTGTTTTGGAGGAAACTAAATTTAGAAGAATGAATTAAATTTAGAATAAATTCTAAATTTTTAGAATTTATTCTCCACTGTTGAATGTATCTGCTAACACTTTAACGTGAGATTAGTGATCAGTTGCGTGTAATGATAGAGGAGTCTTTAGTTTGAAGAACACAGAATTAAGTTCAAGGTATGTAGAAAGCATCTTGTGTCTGTGCTGGACAAGACTAGAATAACAGACCTACTTAAAATACAGTAAGATAGGTTCGTCTTAAACAGTACGGAAACTTTTTTGAAAGCAAGTATAACGAAACACTGTAATAGATGATATGAAGAAGGTTGTCTTGACTTCATTACTGGTGACTGTCTAAGAAGAGATTAGACAAACATCCATCAGGTGTACTATTGGTCCTGCTTGTAGCAAAGAGATACACCATATGGTTTTGTGAAATCCAGTCTACACAGCACCACTTTATTGTCATTATATTTAAGGGACCTATGTTGAAGGTATTGTTAGGGTTTTTCATGATGCTTCCTCACCCCTCCAAGTCTGAATGAAATTGTAGATTTTATTTTAAAATTTACACTTTTAGTCCTCAAAGTACAAAGACAGACTTCTAAATTTGACATTGTATATTTTCTTTAACAAAATTATGAGTATACTCACCTATGGAAAATTATTTCTACTTCTTCCCCCCAACCTTTTGTCTCAGAGGGTATAAATTAGATTGTATTTGAGATCAAGAGTTTAAATGGTCCACTTGAGCTTTTTTTTTGACAAAATGGTATTGACTGTGTGTAACTGATGGACCGTAGAGCCCTATTTCTCCATGTCAATGATTTGTTGGAAATTATTTTGATCCTTAAAATCTATACAATATCATTCATGTCATTTGGAATGATTGGAGTAATTACTGGTTTTTAAGATGCTGCTTTGCCAGTAAAAGTCATTTTGTTGACTCACATATACCAGCAGAAAAATACTTTCAGCAGTATATATGAATTTGGGATATATAAGTCTTGTTAGTTGCACTAAAATAAAAACAAAACAACAACAAAAAGAGATTCCTGTTCTCCTGCTATAAGCTTCTTCATTTGAGTAAGGAAAGTCTGTATAACTTGACTGGCAAACTGACCTTGCCCTGATACAGGCCTGCCAAAGTTTTTTGGTAAATGAAATGGTTTGGTACAGAACTTAATCCTTCATATATTTCTCTTTGGCACAGAATGCACTAGGATACTCAAAAATATCCAGTCCCTACTAATACATCTATACAGTTGCACCATGCCTGCCTTTTTTTGCTCTCTTCCCCCCCACGGCCCCCCGCCCCGCCTTATTTATTCCAAGCTGGGTTTTTTTTTGTCAAAATTATTGTGTTGTGAAGTTCCTGTGATGACCTGCAAGGCATACGTTAGTTTATAATAATAGTCATGACTATCCTCTAATGCAATTGATTTTTTTTTTTTGCTGCTAAGACTTCCTTTAGTATGATTTTTTATTGTCCTTTTCACTTTGTCTCAAAATTTCTACTATTTTCCTTATAAAACATTTCTTAAGAGTGGAGAAATTTGTTTGTGAGCCTCAGTCTCCAGTCAGAAAAGCACGTAGGCGTGAGATTTAAGCACTGCATCTGAACTGATTCAGCAGTGGTTTTTCATCATAATAGCATCTTCCCCAGATTGATTTAAGATTGCAGCCAGTGATAGCTACTTAATAATACGTAGTGTGGCTTTTATTTGCCTTCTGAGTTTCTTGTGTTGCAAGTAATTGTTGTGTATATTAGGAATTAGCACAAGAGCAGTTGTATGGATTGGTACTCCTTGTACGCTTTGGTCCTGAGAGATAAGTTAGTGGAGATCTGAGCAGATAAAAGGGAGGAGCAGAGCCCAGGGATTAGTGTTAGATTTGTTCTGAGGTGCTTCACTGCAGTAGGAATCAAAACATTTCAAAGATCTTCAGGATGTTTGCTATCAGCTGGTCACTACCACCTAAACAAGATACAAAGCTGAACAGTTATCTGCTACCTGCTTATAAATAGATAACCGAGAAGTTGGAGCTGTCATTTGATCCAGTTAAGACCTGTCCTGATTTCATGTTGATTTTTCTAAGGTTTTTTAGTATGTCTGAATTATTAGGTGTTTATGTTGCATGCCTTTGACAGTTACACTGAATGTCACCATTTACATTTCAAATAATGTACAGTAAAGCAACAGTTTGCATTAGGTATGCAACATACTGTGTTTCAATTTTTTTCAACCATGTAAAGGAATAAGTTATTGCATGTTTGTCTGCATTGTACTGTGGCTCCTGGTCATTCAAAATTCAGTGAAAGAGCATGTTCTCAAAGTTCATACTGCATGACCTAGTTAATTCTATCCAATGCTGTTTAATATTTATAGTGGATATCAGCATATTAAGGGCTTTGAGTGCACTGATGCATTAACATTTTCTTTAACTCTTACTTTGGAGAGAAAAAGAAACTAACTACTAACAACCTATTTCCTCTTGAAACTTCTGAAAGATCTACTTAACTGTTCAAGTGATACTAATCTCCTTGAAACGTTTGTTATTTGCATGTTCCATAAATCAAACCCTTTTCCTTATTATGTGGACTGGAAGGATGCCTCAGAAAGTGAAATATTAGATAGTCTGGCAGAATTTATGTAAACATTTTGCTATTTGTAAATTAATCAGTATATTTCAATTTTGTAAATTGTTATACATACACTTGTACTATTACAAGCACTTAACATCACAACAAAATTAGCAACAACAGTCTATAGTATAGTATAGTATATTGAATTCTAAATTAAATGAGTTTTTTCAGGAGAAAAATTTGTGTAAGACACCAGTTTTCACTCACAATTCAGGTCCTTTTCATTAAATCTAGTTATATCACATAATCTGCTGGCATGTCCTGCAGGGATACAGAGAAATGAAAAGAAGAGGAAGCTGGCTGCACATGATTTCAATAAATATTTTAAAAAAATAAAATTCTCCAGTATTTGTACACAAATGTGTGTAGCTTCGTTGTAGCTAATTAATTT